TTTAACTTCCAATTTGCTTGATGTCACCGCTTATGACTGCACCGTTGCAAATGTCATAAAAGAATGAAAATAAATAAAAACATCCTTGTCATCGTACATCATATGAAAGTTTTAACACGGATCCTCGTATTTCATTTATTTACATCCGAAAACACTTAAATGCCTTAATCAGTTAAGCACTCGAAGATATTATTGCCTTGAAATTTTTTGTTTGATTCAGAAATTTGACTTTCAATTGTTAAGTTACCTTTACACATTTCACAAACTGCGGAAAACACGAATGTTTAAATGGGATGTTTTTCTAGGTTAGCCCTTTTGTCCCTCTTATTTGTGACCGATCCATCTGCCGTCAGTTTTTCGAAATAACTCACAGGGGGTTTGCTTAAGTCGTCTTTACACATTTCTTTGTCATTTGTGTTTGCTTGAGAGATGTTGAATTTAATGTGCCGTTTAATTGAATATTCTTCATCCATCATCTTCTTGTGACTCTGCCATGTTTGTTTCTCTGTGTTATTTGCCAATCTGTTTGTGTTTCTGATGTTTTTGAAATGTACCTTTCCTCTTGAGGTCCTGAACCCAGCATTACTGTAGAACAATCGTTATATGTACTTTAAAGTTATTGTTCCAAGTGTCTGAATATTAACTCTCGAAACGGGAAACTATTTTACAAGACATCTTTTCCTGGATTCAGAATTCCAATCAAATACAACGGCAAGTCTTCCCGATTTGACCGCAACCTATATAAATGAACCATATTTATTTTTCTCGTGTTGTTTTCTTAACTAATCTACGAAATTGTTTTTGGCTTTTACAACGGACATTGTTGGGATGTTTGAAAGAAGGCCAATCTATTTCTGCCCCGAGTGTCTAAGTGGTGGATGATTGGGCCTGGCCACTCGACTCGCCAGGTGTTATGGAGCTGGAGGAAGCCTCGAGCGTTTTTTCCTCTTCTCCAGTTCCAGCGCTACGGGAGCCTCACTCATTTTTTGTGGCCTCTAATTAAGCACGTGGCAAATATCCACCTTTTGCTCTGATAAACTGCCTTATGCTCTTTTTGAGGGAAATAAATCTTCCACGGTTCGGTGAGGAACTGTCATAATGTTATTGTTGATTGTTATTATCTCCGATTCCAACTGTTGGGTCTCAAGTAATAGCAAGTAAAGCAATCTGTCAGTTTATAAATATAGGTCCATAATTATATGTGACATTACCTTACAGGTTGAGATACACTTCAAAAATAAATGCCAACACCCATACCGCCATTTTATTTTATTTTTCCTTCTAAGAACTCAGCTTATGTGAAACTTGGTGTTAGCGCAAGGGGAGTAACGGACATCTTAACCAGATTTATCATACGAATTTTATTTTATATTTAAGATTGCTATACCAATGATAATTTTTTCGACATTTAACAGAAGTAAACCAATCCTCAAGATATACATTATATACATTGAGTTAGAGGTGGTTTTGAATGGAATAAGGGTAAATATAGTTTTCAACAGAAAGAACAATTTTCTTCATAAAGGTGTCTTTAATAGAAAACTTTAATTTGGTAAAAGAAAATAGAAATAGAATCAATAAAGTTAGTATTTGATCCATCTGTTGATGCAATCAAAATAATTTGGATTGGATAAAATGTAGAATAAAATTGGGTCATTATGAAAAAAATAAATATATATACTTGAAATATTCCAGATTTTCAATGTCGTTTAACTTTGACTTGATTTTACTTAAGACTTAAATAGACTTTTAATATTATATTAATTATGCAGTCTGTTTGATGCGGCTAAAGTCCTAACCTGTAAATCAGAAGTATGGGGTATGATCCTTGAAATCTCTGATTAATTTTTCATCGAGATCGGTATTATAACCTTTAGCCTGATGAGTTTTTTAAAGATCGAAGGCTTCTCTTATTAGGAATTCAGATCAAGCAAGGTCTTGCTTATGTATAGCACAAACTGCTACAACAAACGTAATGTTGAGGATGTTACCATAATAGGTACATCAAATCGGGATCGGTTCCTGCATTGTTTGCAGGTGCTAGACCGTGCATTACTCTTTTCCCTGTTGATGGTATCTTCCGATAAGAATCCTTTTTTTGTTTAGTTAAATCCTTTGGAAGAATTAACAACATTATTGATAATAAACAAAATTCTATGAATAACTGTTTATTACACCCATGTTTCCATTTTTGACATATGCTGAACAAGTTTTTATCTCCCGGGACTTCAAGTCCCCTTTAAGACGACACCTAGGAAATCAGCTGCTAACCGTGGATCTCCGGTTCCCGATTGGCCTGGAAACTGCCTAACCGTTTATTATTGGCCCGGAACACGTGCGGCCTCAAGACAATTTGTGGCTGCAGCTTGGAAAATTGTAGGAGGAGGGTGGGAGGGAAGACGCATCTGTCGCGTCTCGTCTTACCTCCTCGCCCTCCCTCCCGTCTCTCCTCACTAAAAGGTTTTCAATTTGTCAGCGCTTCCTCTTTTATAGGGCGGTCGGCGCCGCCCTCGATCTGTAGGAGGTTCTCAGAGGAACCAAACAAAGACAAAAAAACTGGCAAACAGAGCGCTAATGAATTTATAAAAAGGCGTAACAGTTCTGTTGTTGTTTGCGGAAGCGTGTCCAATAATAGCGGCAGGTGAGGGAGGCAAGTTTTTGTCGAAATTCAAGTTGAGCGCGGCGTGGCATACGGTCCAACCCGGAGACCATATGCTATCAGTCCTAATCACTCCGAGCTATATTTATTATTTCACCCTCAACAAATTGTTATCCTCTTCCATCATATCTTCTGTAAAATCCATGTCATCTGATTGAATATAGGATTGAAGTGAACATAGGTAGGTACTTGGTACCAGCGAAACCAGGATGGGAGCTCAGCCTGAAAGCTTTATATATATATGTATATATAACGATAATTACTTTGTAAGAAAGAGAAAGAAACTAACTACCTGTATGAATTGATGTTTAACTGATTCTTGAAGTTCTATTAAATGTAATTACACGAACAATAATACTTTTAGAGATAATTTTATAATATTTTTTTCACCAGACATGGTAATATTTTAGTTTTGTGAAGGGGAGTTTCAGCCCGAAAATCTTCCCTCCCCCGAAGTACTCGATGATAAGAAGAGCCTCGATTTTTATGCAGTAAAAACACACAGTACATACAATAAATTATACCATATAACAAGCTGTGGAATATGGAATAAAAACGTTGAAATAAACTTATGTGCCTATACAAAAAATTTTAATTAAAAAAATCTGAAAATATATTTATAGTAAAATTGTAATGCTTTTAACTGTGTTGGGTTGCTAACTGACACAGTTTACTAATCTATCTATCTTGTTGCTTTCTTTTCTCTCAATTCTGTCATCCGGATCCATAAAGCAATGACCTGATTTAATAGAAATGATGGTACAGGTCCAAAATGATGATGGTATGATGAGTCCAAAATAATGGATCCGCCAAACTCTGTATATCATACCTTTCAACACCTTGCTTTTACAAAAAAACTATCAGTTGAAAATCGAATTGCTCCTCTACTTCCAAACCACAATCCTCGCGCCGAAAAAGTTAACGAATTATTAAAAATTGAACGAAAATGATTATATTACTTATCAATATCAACACGAATCCATTATTTTTATTATCTTATATTTTGAGAATTAGTCTGAATTATAACTTTCCGTACTTATAAATTTTATTTATTGTTTCCAAAATTATAAAAGAATAAAATTCATCTGTGGAGTAATTTTCTTTTGGTAATTTCCATAGCTTTCCGTTATTTTTACGAATTTTACATTATTGTGTCCATATTTTAAAACATATGTTTCGGATTAAATTTGACTGTTCAGAATTCTCCCAGATGATGATTAAATTTCAAATTGCCTTTATAAATTTGTAGATATATTATTTTTTTGTAATTGCTCTTTATTTTATTATATAAATTGAAAAGGCAGTTTAAGATTAAAAAAAAATGAAATTCACAATTTTCAGTTATAGATATGAGGATTTTAATCGAATATAGACGGAGGATTTGTGGATCCTTTTACTAAATTAAATAATAATCTTAATAATAAATAATGAAGAATGAGTATCTGACATTAATGGGTTGAAACAGGCGATTGGAGATCATTGTAGGCCTGTTTATTGATATTCTGTTGGTTTTTTTTTTTTTTTTAATGTTGGCAATTTTTACACACATCGATAATATTAAATTTTTTATATATTTTCATAAACTGAACCACCCTAAATATATACATTTTTTGATTTGTTTCCAAATGGTAGGGAGCGGATTATCTCAGTGGGTAAGCACTGACTTCTTAACCTCTATGATCGATCCTGGGTTTGGAAGATCCTCCTAGGGGCACATCTAGCCTCTATAAAATGAATAATCTTAATTAAGGAGGGAAATCTGTGGTTGAGCGTGATCCTGACCCGATCACTTCCCTGCGAAGCCGTTGGCCTTAAAACAATACCTTTGAACCCAAGACTCTTCATGGGTTGTGGTGCAGATTTTTTCTTCTTCCAAATAACATAAAAATATAAAAACGTCAATGAATTCTCGAAATCGTTAATGATGTAAGAGCATGTAAATTGATAATTTCAATTTACATCTTTTATGAAGAGAAGAATAGTTGGGGTGTTCAGTCAAAAAGGAAGACAAAAATAAATTATAATATTTATTTTTACATATGCCGACGTTTCGACCTGAAGTTCAGGCCTTCATCAGGGCTTTTCTTAAGTGTCGAAGGGAGAATGAACGAAGTTATATAGGTACATACATCTTTTATGTTTAAACATAAACATAAACATACATCTTTTATGTTTAATTTTTCATTTAATGGCTCGGTGAATGCTCCTAGGTTTAAAATCACGTACTAATAATAAAATAATTAAATGTTTCCAAAACATTACACCCTTTATACAATTTTAAAGCTTTGTGTATAGATGGAGAAATTATTGGAAAATTTATTTAAAAATTTAACAGTATACTAGGTTATTATTTCACAAATTTCTGATTTGTAGTATTTGACGAAAAGAATTTTAGTATTTAGTAAAATTTAGGTTTTTCGCCATTGATGAGGTTATAGTTAGCGGATAGTTGAGTCTGTATGATCATATGTTTTATCTTGAAGCCATGATGTAGTTCGAAGTTAGCAATTGAAAAATTAATGTTAGTTATGCTTGATAGCCGGGTTGATAGCGTGTTGGTTAGAAGAGATAGGGATGTAGTGAAGGGACCTAGACTAGGCTACTTTTAGAATCGCTGGGCCTACTCACCAACCTCTCCTGTCCTTATAATTAGACAACCAAATAACATTCATGGTTGACCTGGTCGAGAATGCGAATCAGTAATTATTCAATCATTATATTAATGACATTATTAACCTATCAGTTAAGAACAAGTAGGTTTAAAATGTAGTTTGATATATATTTTTTTTCATCAATGTTTAACCTATTAATTTTGAAACAATATTAAATCTCACAGCATACCATTATAGTTGGTCAGATTATAAAATATGGTGGAGGCCATAATTTTTGTATTTGCTTTTTTTCTGCGCTGTGCGACAAAGAGAGTTGTAACACAAGCAAAGCAGTTTTACACCCTCAATCTTCTTGATCGTGGATTCACGAATCCACCCATTATCCGTCCAACTTGAATTGCTTTATTTAAATTTTCCGATTATTGTATGTGATATCTTTTACTATTTGATATTAGTACTTCTTTGGTATTGATTTTATATGCTACTTTAACATCCTTCATCATCCATATCTATTCCTTCCACTCCTTTTACTGGCTTTCTGTTCTAGCTACCGTATCTCCCTCACGCTTTTGTGTGCCTTTAATCTTTAGCTATTTTACTGTCCTGAACAATTATACTAACGGTAACTCTCCATTGTACGTTTTCTTTTGTTTTATCGCAATCTGCTCATAATATGACGATTTCTTTCTGACGCATTAAATGCAAATCCCATATATAATGTACTGTACAATCCTCAACTAATGTTGCGTTCATCTATTTAATTTTTTTATGCCTACGATCAGTTATTCATCGTATACCTAAGTCTTCCACTGTAGTCCTTTAAATTTATCCAGATTTTCCATCCATTATGGTGATTCTTGAAAGTCATTGTTATTATTTTGTAATGTCAGTTCCTCTTCGTACTCTTCTTTTCCTTCTTCCACCTCCTTCCTTCTTCCTCCTTCTCACTCCATCTTTCAGGTTGTTCTTAACCCTATCCTTCTAGCGTACTCTATCCTTTGTGTTTCCTTTGCAGAGGGATGCTCGAGCAGGTCGACGCCGAAGCCGCGGCCACCGCCGGTCCCATCCACCTCGCGGCCCAACGTCACATTCCACACTTACGCCTGCCCGCCAGACCACGCGGCATACTACTGCCTCAACGGCGCAACCTGCTTCACCGCAAAGATCGGCGAGAGCTGGATACCCTACTGCGAGTGAGTACCTCTAGTTTTTATATTTCAGTATATTTTTATGTAGACAATAGAAGTAAACAGGTACAAACGAAAAAAAAAAAAAGTTTTGAGTAAATATCCATTTTTTTTCCACTTGGATCGTAAGATGATTTGCTCACAAAATAGAGAAAAAAGGTGGCCTACCAAAATATTGGGCCGTTTGACCTATATAACTTCGTTATTTTGACATTTTGGCGATTGTAGTTCACGCCAAACGGCCCAATATTTTTGAAAGCAACATTTTTTTCTCGATTGTGTACTCAAATGATCTTAGGATTCAAGTGAAAAGCAAATGGTTATTTACAAGTTTTTAGTACCTAATTAAGTAGTCAAAGTTTGACGATCTCCAGATTGAGAACACCCCAAATTCTGAATATAATAACATAATAATAATAATGAGTAAATAAAATAGTATTAGGTTAATAATTTGATAAAAAAGAGTGTGTATCACGGACTATTGGCTTATTTTGTATTTTTAGTTTTTAATTTATTATCTTGATGTAGAGATGGTTGACCGTGATATAATATGAGGAGTTGATCGGAGGGTGCGGTAAAATAAATACTAAATTATAGAAATAGTATTATTTAATTAGCAGGCCGACCTTTTGACCCACCATGCAGGTCTTCATTAGGACTACAAAAGAAATAAAATATAAAAGGTAAATGGTGAAAATAAAATAAATGAATCATAATTAGATATTAAATAAGAAAGAGTTGTCTGATAAAGAAATAATAAGATGATATCACAGATATAGTGGGTGACAATGTAGTAGATATAGTTATATCTATATTTGTATAGATATGGTATTTGTATTTTTATTTTTGTATAAATATAGCATATATAGTTACCACTCTTTCTCTGATATGTTCTTATTATTTCTTTATCAGACAAATTTTTCTTATTTAATATCTACTTATGATTCATTTATTTTATTTTCACCATTTACCTTTTATATTTTGTATCTTTTGTAGCCCTGATGAAGACCTGCAAGGTGGGTCGAAACGTCGGCATACTAATTAAATAATACTATTTCTATAATTTAGTATTTATTTTACCGCACCCCCGATCAACTCCTTCGCATAATTTATTATCAATTTTCTTTTTTTTTTTTAATTTTTATTTATCGAGCCCCTTTAATTTTATCCTGAAAATAACTTTTTATTTTTTTTATTTCTTTATGACATTTACAACTGTTTTACATAAATACATCAAGTAAATTTGGACATAATAGATATAATGACATGAATACACTTGCTGAGTAACTACCCAATGGTAGCACTCTAAGAAAATAACTTAAATTTATTTTCCTAGCTTAATTCATGATTAATGGTGAGAGGGGAGAAGAGTACCTAGTTTCTCAACGCGCTGGGTGTCGTATTGAAAGTACGCTTGTTGGCTCATGTACCTTGTCCCGTTGTTATTTCTTCTTCTTTACTACTTCATTCGGAATAGCTACAACCTTCCCATTGTGACCGTTTCCCACCAGTTCGCCCTCCCGCCCGATGTCTCCCCGCTAGATTTTTTTTCTCACAGATGAGGTGTGAATGGGACCTTTCTCCTTACGGGGGTGGGACGTGCCTTCCCACAAGGTGCCCGGATTACTGTCAAGTTACCGGCTCTTCGTCAGTGCGGTTGTTAAGGTTTCCCCGAACTCGCTGTAGATCGCCAACCAGAAACGCACGCCTCCGGAGTGGTCCGATCGTTTCATCTAAAGGTATTCTCTTTCACGTACACATGATCATTGTTGTCCTGTCTGGAGAAGATTGAGGGCCAGTTTTACGATCTTGGAATAGTTGTAGAGTTAGTCAGAAACAAAGTCAACTTGCTAGTACAATAATTGACAACAAACAAACCTCTAGAAATGATTGAGGAACTCAAAATTGAAGCGAATAGTTGTTTTTAAAAATTAAATAAATATGAAGATTTAATTAATTTGTTTACTTTGATTATTAATACACAATAGGATCGAATTGGAGTTGTATATATTAAACGCTTTTGTCAGTTTAGATTTGAAGGAAAACAACTCATTTGCCAAACATCTTCGATATTTGACGATGATTTAAATTCAGATCATTCGAGTTATTTGTTCTGATCATAGTAGCATTTTTTGAAGTAGATATTTAAGATGGAGTTTAAATATTTAATTTTCTTCAAACTCTTTTAAAATTACTTTAATTGGGAAGCATTTAACAGACGGAAATCGTTCCACATTGCTACTTGTTTTGTGTAAACTCGTCAGAATTAAATGACGTTTGGAGTTTCGGAAGATTTTAAATAAATATATTTTACTCAAACCAAAGTAAATATTTCTATAATTCAAGAAAACACTTCCATCTCAATTTTTGCATATTTAATGGATAGCTCTGCTGAAACTGCAACTTCGTAAATAGCTTTATCTCATCATAATATACAGATATTTTATTTATGAAAATCCTTGGAATTGGGGCGTTTTCAATCTGGAGGTCGGCAAACTTGGTCTATTTAATTAGGTACTAAAACTCGTAAATACCCATTTCCTTTCCACTTGAATCGCAAGATAACTTGAGCACAAATTTGAGGGAAAAAGTGGCCTTGAAAAATATTGAGTCGTTTAGCGTGACTTACACCCCCAAATTGTCAAAATAACGAGATTACATAGCCCAATATTTTTGCAGGCCACCTTTTTTTATCGATTATGTGATCAAATCATCTTACGAATCAAGCAGAAAACAAATGGGTATTTACAAGTTTTTAGTATTCCTACCTCCAGTTTAAAAACGTCTCGATTCCAAGTATTTTCGTAAATAAAATATTTGTAGGTTATGAGATGAAGCTATTTATGAAGTTTCAGCCGGATGTTAATAATTTGATAAAAAGGGGTCTGTACCACGGACTAGTGTATTGAGTTATTATCTTGTTCTTGCTGATATTGCGTTGATTGGTTGATAGTGGGCTATAGGTTGGTTGTGGGTTTGAAAGATGTATATGGAGTCGGTCCACGTATTGATTTTCTTCCTGTTTTACAAACTTTTAATACATTTTTATAAGATCTGTGTTTTTTTAATTGAGTTAATTTAAACATAAGGGATATAATGATTCGCTATAGACTTTTTATAGATATTATTATTATATATAGTATTGAAAACTCCTATTTTTGTTACATATATATTATGCCTTAATGTAACAACTTCAATTATATGTGGACATTTAGATAAAAATCTATATTTTAATAAACATCTAGAAAAATTAATAGCTTGTTGTTGACTTATTTCTGCTATAAAAAAAAACGAAGTTGAGCTAATTACGGCTGAGATTGTGTTTGGTTGATTTGCGTTGTTGCCCTTGATGCAAGGACGCTTAGTTCGGGTCGATGGAAAGTTATTTTTATCGAAGCTATAAAGATCTAATCAAATTAATTTGTCTAGGGTATTATCAAGTCTTCCCGGCGTCTCTTAGGGTTTGTTTTTCGCTAGGAGGATACAAGTGTGTGTGTGTGAGCATTTGTAGATTTCTTCGGTGGCTCATTACAGCTGTTTCTATCTTGACAACTATTGCAATAATATAGCCTTAACAAAAATCGAATAATTAGCCCAAAAATTGTTCGTCTTGACTTACTTAGAATATTTTTTATTTTCATTTTGTTGTGCACGGAATCGAAATTAAGTATAGTATAAATTTTGGTTGGTAGTTGTTGTTTATTTTAGTTATGTAGACGAACTTGGTAATTTTAATTCATTTCCTCAGTAAAATATTTTTAAACAGGATTTTTCAGGCAGTTATCTCGTATTATAACTCCTCCTCTCAAATTGTCAACTCAAATTGTTTTTTAGGGTATGAATGGGATTCTTACCGTTATGGAATGGAATATAGGTCCATATTTGTATTTACATTTTGATGAGGCACGTTTCTTCTTCATACAAGTAGTTACTTAATTTCATGACATTGAGAACTCAATAGCTAGAATTCGTTTGAAGAAGGTAATTCGACTTGATCATAGTCACTTACACGATATACAGCATTATCTATATTGCATTATATAACGTTATACGCCCCTGATTGCGGTGGGGGTGATAAGTGTAACCAGGCAATTGGCTGAATTGATGGTGTAGATCTCCACTCTGCTGCCGCGCCACTCGGAACATAAAACTTTTACGTCTCTCTGGTTGACGTCATTATTCATGTATGTGTGTTTTCGTGTGAGTGTGTTTTTTTTTCGGGGACCAGATAAGAGAGAAGGTCCCTGAACCAGCCCCTATATTTGCCGTTTCACCTCTTCATGAAAGCCGTTTCATCTCCTAGTTTGCCAATAGATAGCTCCCCTGTCTTCATTTACACACTTGACTCGTTTGATAACAGTGTAAATTTGCTCCTCATAATTTTAGGAAAATGACAGAAGTTTTTCGCCATCATCCCATAATTTTACTTTGAGCTAAAACAATTTTTTGTTAAATATATACTATAAATATAATATATATATATATATATATATATATATATATATATATATATATACAAATTATATAATTGTGCCCACTTTACTATTTGAGATGAGTGGTAAATCTATGTCTCATCAGATATAATATAAAAACGCCGTTTAAAACAAACTGTTAATTACTAGCTATTCCCATTGCTTTTCATTGCATTATATTCTAACGTTCATCAGCCAATTCTACAAAAAAAAACTCTCACTTGATTCTGGTTCTGGGTTTCTACTTTCGTGTAGAAAAAAAAGTGAAAAAGTTCTCCTTTTTGGGAAATTGCAAGCTTGGAAATGAAAACAATGTTATTAATTAAAGTCTAATCGAATCGCAGTTTAATCTATTTTTTTAAAGAATATAAGTAAAATAGACATACGAATAGACATTACGAATAGTTACATGCTATTTTCGCAGAAGGGATTTTTAAGTCTATTCTGAGAGGAAAATCTGACCGTTCTAAGGGAAATTAAAAAATATATATATGGTGGAATCACTGCTTGTTAATAATAGCGTTATTTGCTCTACATTATTTTAGGAAAATGTCTGAAGTTTTCATCCATCATTGGGTAATTTTACTCTGCGCCGAAATAAAATATTTGTTAATTATATTCTACCATATTGGTAGCTATCCATATTATTTGAGATGAATGATAAACATGTTCCGCTTATCAGAAAATTAAGTAGTTGTAAATGTATTTGCTATTTAAAAGAATTTGTGTCATTATTGTGCACTTACTGTGGTTTTCAAGAGATAAATAAGGTTACAATTCACAAAAAAAAATCTTACAAATTCAGCTGTATCAGGAATATACCTAGTGACATTTATTTTGCAATAAATGAAGATATATGGCTCATGAAATATAAAAATGTCATTAAAAATGAACTGTCATTACTAGTTATTGACTTCCTTTCTCATTGCATTTTGTTCTAATGCTCATCAGTCAATTCTACAAAAAGGTTTACTTGATTTTGGTAGTCTGTTTTGTTTTTAAAATTATAGTGCACATTTATTTTATTGAGTGTTTAAACTCTTATTTCTTTAAAGGTATTAATTCATTTCAATATTATTTGAAACATACCCAATATGGTGTGTTTATTTGAAAACCTATAAGAAATATGACTTTATGGAATGGTAGAGATTATTTTAATGCATTATAAAGACAGAATAGTATTATAACCTAACAAATGGATTTAGCTTCAAAAACAACCTCTCATTAAAAAAGAAAAACAGGACTTAATTCTTAAGTACTCATATTTATATTTCCTTAAGTGTTTATTAAATACAGTATGTATGCTTATGAACTCTCGATTACATTACAAATAGTTTTTATTAATATTTTCTTTTTCAGATGTGCAGACGGTTTTATGGGAGAGAGGTGCGAATTCAAAGATTTAGACGGAACGTATTTGTGTAAGTGTACTATTTTATTTTTAATTATAATGAATAAATCAGTCATCATAAATTAATATGTATTATTATATTCTTAATATATTATAGGTATTAAAAAAATATCACCTAAGTTTTACATTATCTGATGTTTCAACAACATTTTTTAAACACCCTTTGAATTTCAGATTTATTTATCTGGATTAAATAAGCATTCATATTATTAATTTCATATGGTTTAATAAATGCCTTAAATTTCACTGTTTTACTTACTTATTGAATTGTATCCTAAATCAGTGTTGCCAATATTAGAATTAAATTTATCTTTATTTATTTATATTCTTTGAAACATTTAATAATGACAATTATTTGTTGGACTCTACCATTACAAAAATAGTTATTTCAAAATGAAATGAATATTGTATATGATATTTATATGTTAGGTTTAATCTTTACATTCTTAAGTTACATAATTTTAAGCAATGTATTATTTTGTTGACAGCCTCTCGACGGCGGGTAATGCTGGAGACAGCTAGTATTGCTTCAGGTGCCACTGTTGCTGTCTTCCTTGTTGTCGTCATATGCATGTTTGTTTATGTCCGTGTTCAGCGAAAAAACAAACAGAACCTTACAGCGTAAGTATTATATTTGTTTTAACAGTTTGTGATGTATTAAACTGAAAATGGAAATGTTACTCATATGAAAAATGTTGAGTTAAATGTTGTTAAATAACTTTTGAATTTTTCCAAGATTATAATCTCATTCTTCATTCTTTTTGTTAATGATAATGAGTTTTGTTACTCAATTTCGTTATTTCTATAGTGAAAATTAAAAAAAAAAAATTTATATTGTAAATACTGTAATGTAACATTATATTAATGAAATCCCACATTAATTTAAAACAGTATTTTGTTCATTTAAAAAAAAAATCTCATAAAAATGTGAAGAAATAATTTTATCGGTGATTCCTGATTTAAAAACATCATTAACTGAAAAAGGATTACATATCTATGGAAAATAATTTATCATAATCAGAATTTATTTAAATTTTTATTTATACCTCCTTTCCTTTAACCTTCCTCTTATTTATTATCCCCTTTTATATTTTCAGTTCTCCTTCTACAAGTAAAGTAGAGGAAGAAAAACTGAGCTTAAAAAAAAAAAATTCCTTTTTCCCTTTCCTGTCTTTTCTATTTAGAAATTTGAAAATAATTGATTCTACTTTTCTTTATTGAATATTTCAAGTCATATTTTCTTTGAAAATCAAAACAAAAACTTTGTTCTGTTTTATTTCCTTGAAATTGCACATACTACAATATATTATACGTTCCATTAAGCATTGCATTAATTTTTTTTTTTTCTTTAGGTCAGGTGATATGAGGGAGGACCTTGAGAAACGAGGTGTTGCACCAAGAGAAGGGCATATTCCGTATGCAGTCCACCATGTCTCCACGGTAGTTATTTATGTTTTTCTTTAATTTTATATATATATATATATATATATATATTACAGTTTATCAACATTAATCTCTTGTTTAAGTAAATACAGTAATTTCTTCTGCTTTCTTCTTTCCAAAGCTTTCAATTCCAAAATATAATATAAGAAAAGATCATCAATCATTTTGATAAGCTTATCATTTTCACTAATGGTAAAATTTAAAACAAATGGGCTTCTAAAAACAATGCAAAATCTTTAGAAAATTTGCCTGTACTTATGAACCTTACTCTAATTCTACACATCAGAAATAAACTATAATATTAATAAACGTTTAAAGGGCAACATAAAGAAGGTTCGAATATTTTGTTGCCTGTTATGGATAGTGATAAGCCCTTATTTTTGTAGTATTGTAGTCGTTATCGTCCCTTACCTTATTTATGATGCTTTATTCTTTGAAAATATGGCCACAATAATGTATATACAATAATAGAATCAAAGTCAATGAAATTGGATTTACAATAGTTTTATTTGAAATGACTATAATTATATTTGAAATTACCTTTTATTTACAGACCTTCAATTCTAAATGCCTTTTAATTAAGAATGTGGGATCCGAATTCATTGAAAAAATTGAAGAAAATAATATTCAACAAATTAAATAACTTATATTAATGTGTTTGATAGATCTACAGATTTTATGAACTAATTACATTTAACATGTTTATCATAAAATGTTAAGGATAGTTCAAATTCAAATTCAAAATGCATTACATAATTCTCAGTATATTATTTTCATTATTAATAAATATGTCCGAAAATTCCATTGTGATTCGATCACAAAAGTAAAACTCTCATTTTAATGAAAATTGTTTAAACAATTCCAATTTTTTTTTTAATTGAGACCATAGTGACAGATCTATATGATAGAAAATAGATCGTATTAAAGTGTTACATGCTTTAACATTCTCAAGTTGCTGTAAATTGAAATTTACTTTGTGATAGGCCTATGAAATGAATCTCCACCTTATCACTCTGGCCAGAATATTATGTTGGTAACATGATAAGCCATACTTCCTTATTGGTAAAAATTAGGATGTTCAACCCAAAACAAACAAACAAAGCTTTCAATCTCACCTTCCTTTGAAATCAATAATAAATGATCACCGTATTCAATAAGCAACCTATGTTTAATATTCCTAAGGCTTATTATATGGCTTACCACTTTTATCTAGCTTAATCAATCCATATATTCTGCGTTGCTCTGGTAAATTAGTTGATTTGTTTTGTTTTTTAAAAGAAAAGTAAATTTTATTCTAAAATTTTTGTTGGTTATACTAACAAGAAGATATGGCCAAGATATGGCTTTCTGCAATTCGAGTATACATTTTTTCATGTTTCATAGACGAATAGAAGCTTTAATACACTCGGTTAAAGTTTGTGCAGTTCTATTTATAACAGTGTACAAGAAAACTTAACACTTTTCTCTACACACATTACCAAAAAGCCACTCATAGGATGCACCCTTCCAACAGAGTGTTTTTGTCTAGAATAAATCTTTCGTCTATTTCAGACCTTCTCTGCCAGTTAACATAGGACTATAAAAAATGTATGAGGCGTATAATTTTCTCACATAATTTTTCCAGTCAGTTGTACTGCCAGACATGCTTAGCTTGTCTTTATTAAATTTGGTAGTGGTGTAGTTTTTATACCAGGCATAAAAAATTATAATACTTTTTCGATAGATAATTTACAGAAATGTAACCTCAGACTTGTTATATTGCTGACAACTTCTTAGATTACACACCCACATAGCTTTATCAATTTTTGAAGGGAAGAATTTCCTGTGATGTCCTCGGAAACATTTCCTTTTTCTGTGTAATATGTCTTCTTTCATCATCATTTTGATGCTATACCTTTCATTCGTGATGAAAGAATGTTATTTTATTTTAAGAAGTTCATTTTTTTTTTAATTTTGTACTCAATAAAACCATATGCTTACAATTCAGCTTATAACTTCAGTAGTACAACCACAATAATTTATTAAATAATGTGTATTTGACAAACCTACAGTTCTAAATAAGTGACAAAAAAGTAACTAGCTATACTTAATAAAAAATGACCCTGGATATCTATAAGTTATAATTTATGGTTGTAAACTTATTTAGCTTAAAATTGATTGGCCATTTTCTGTTATCTCTTTTGAGTTAGATTCCTATTGAACATTAATTCTGAGGTTTTGAGCCTAGGTATGAATGTAATTAGTTATGTATGTTTCTTTTTTATAAATGGATTATACTTTCTTAAATTTCTCAAATCAAGTATGGTGGATAAACTAGTTAAATATTCTTTGTGTTTCTGGACATTACATAATTATTTTTTCACTTTTCTATTCATATTTTCTATTGATATACTCTTATTATGAATTAAGAACTGGACCTTTTTTTAGGGTTCTGTTGTGTTGATGGTTAAATGCGAATGATGGTTAATCAAAGTTTGACTGTAATTTGTTTAATTATATAGCTTTTAGCCTCTAACTTTTATTTTTTTTATTTTTTATTTATTTTGTTCTCTCCTTCCTCGTCTTAAAGGCTATACGGGCTTTTCCTGGGCCAAGGGTTGAGGACAAGGATTTTAAAGACTCCCTTGGCACTTGGAACTCGTGACCTATTTTTGTCTAGTTATCTCATGTATCGGATGGCTAGGCGGTGCTGTGCACACACGTTAGTCCGTTCAGCTATCCTACCCCCAAAAAAGTTTACGCATATTTTCTAACCATGAAAATATCTATATATATATTTTATTTCATGAGTGGACAAGCAAAATCAAAATATGGTTAGGATGATTTTCGACTAGTTTTTATCTAAAAGCTTCATTTAGACATTTATTATTTTTATATATATTTTTTTATCCTTAAATTTATTTAATATTTGATCATAATTAATGTTAATTATTTAATATTTTTGTTTTTTTAGGAAAGGGGAACAGGAGACAACATAAGATTAGCAGTGTACAACACTGACCCGCCGTAGGAGCATGCATGGGCGTGAATAGAGATCACATCGACCTCTTGTGTATTTTATAAAACCCTACCATGTCCCAAAAATGTTTTTTATATATTTATGGACTAAAGAATAGAAGAATAAGTGTTGGCCTTGAGTTATAACATTCCACGATGTTCTTGTTGGATTGATTTTAAAGACGCAAGTGGTAGAACTGCGACCCCTCCCACTCGGCAGCCCTACAAGACTCTAGTGCATTCATCCTCTTTTTGTACATTAATCTTTGTAGATATTTTCTAATATTAAACAATGAACGCCTCAGTTTTGTTTATAATCTAAGATCCCTCTCATTTACCTGTTATTTTGTCTATTAAGAAGCTATATGTATATATATAATTTAATATATATATATATACATATATAACTCTATAGACTACTATTTGTATTGTATTATAGTACTATGAATAAGTATTATGTCAGTGCGTGACATATATTATTAAATTGTAATAGTAAATTATATAATTATTATGAACTTGGTTCCTAATTTATTATTATTGTATGTTTTAGAAACATTTCTCATTGTATATAGCCACTGTGAGCTCATTGGTATATCAACTTGTACAATATCACTTGTAAATAATATACCAAAGATAGTGACGTTTAATTGTGCGTCGAGGTCACAGCATAGCATTTAAGAGCATATTTGTCATGAATTTTATAATTTTTAGCTAAATCGTAAATTATCTAACTACCAAAGCTAATTTAATTGTCTATTTAATAGCCTAGTTCTATTATTATGTTCAAAATTGTCTTTTTTTTAATACCAAAATCTTAGTTAATTTATCACTATATTATCGACTTCAATCACTCGAGGCTTTTTCAAACTTTTTAAAATAATATTTTCGATATGATTTTACAATGGAGTTGGTTTTATTGTTTTCTCATGCCATTGATGGTTATTTAAAACAATTTACTTTTCAAACTAACTGTTACTAATGTTCCTGCATCTCGTACCCATGTAAACTAACTATTAATAAGTAATGAGACTTTTAAAAAATATTTCAGTTGTCGACAGAACTGTGTATGTGATTTCTTAATTCATTTATGATAGTTACAATAAAAAGAAAAAAGCGAGAGAGAAAGAGAAAAAAAAACGATCCAGTCAAATAAAATTATTTTATGCTGAAAAATTTTGCTAAGTAAAATAAGAAGCAGTTGTTACAATTTAGCTATTTATAATTGATTAAAGATTACAACCAGTGTATTATATATGTGTATGTAAATTGTAATTTTTGTAAATGTGACTATATAGGCACTAGTCAGCTAGCAGCTTCAGCTCCTAATTTATAAACTAAATTAAATTCATTTTTAATTAATCTGCCTCAATAGTAAGCAAAGGGAATAAATATATTTAATAAATATATATAATATATCAATGTATTCTGAGTGTTTTTTATTTTTTTATGATTTTCCTGATAAATACTCCTATTTGTTTTTCTTTTCATTTTCCTGTTTACCTTAAACATATCCTGTTGACCTTTACATAGTTATTGCTAAGTTATACGTTTTTTCTATTTCTTTATCTACATTTAATCTTTTTTCTATTCTTGAATTTAGTAGTCCTTAAAGTGTAATAGTCTATTGGTTATTTGATGTTATTGTATTTTCAAAAATCGTGTATTTAATAACAAACAAAAAAGCATTGATTTTTTCAAAAGTTCCTCAAATATCTACTAAAGCTGAATGTGTATTTTCTCAAATACCTATTTATTTATTCATTTTATATCCCCACATACTAATACACTACAATAACATGGGTGTACATAGTTTAGGCATATTGATCTCCCTTTGTCCCTCCCTAGTTTTGGCCATGAATCTTAACTATTCTTAATAACCTTTGCATAACAGATAGATACAGGCCTGAGGGGGTTGGGTTATATGCTCTTAAACTTAAACTTATAAATAAGCTTCAATACCCATCTTATTAATATTCTCAACAAAATTTGCTTCACTATTAATACATTTAAAATATAACAATTTTTATGCAACAAAAGTTTTTATACATAATATTAGCCAAAATTTTTAACTTTATATTTTGAATGCAGTTCTTTTTTATCGAGTGTCATTGGTTTTATCAATTTCAAAATTAAATAAGAGGGTATTTCCTCCCATTCTTTCAACAATTTAGTATTGAGATCTTTTAACAGACTTATATTTTGATTAATTAAATAGATACGAGTCCATGAATGTTTGATAAGATTTAAATCTGGATTCTGGAGGGGTGTTTCGACTATCTTTAGGCAATTACATAGCAGCAGAGATACGTAAAATCGGAATCAACTTTAAATATTCCAATTCCAATCCTGATTACAATTATAAGCGGAAACCTGATCATAATTCCTGTAATCATAATTATAATTGTTGATTACGATTTTATTCATCTATGCATAGCTGTCATTCCCATGTAAAGAGAGGTTTGTGGTTAGGATCATTATTTTAGTAAAATACCCATTTTAAAGTTCCTTTAAGATATAAGTTTATTTAAAATTTCCATCTCTCTATATCAACAAAACCAAAATTCGTTGTATAAGAGTACAATCTTTCGCTGTAACAGGAAGATTGTTCATTTAAGGTGCTTTTTCTTATTTTATTTACCATCTATATACATTATACATTATATTTCCTATTATCTACATAATTTTTCTAATATTTGTCTAAAGCAAATTTTTTTTGTTTTTATTGAAGCTTATAAAACGTTTTTTCTCTTCATTTTGGCTTTAAATCCGTAATTTTTTTAATATTCTCTAAACAATATTAGGTACAGCTTATTTTTCTAATTATTCTCTCATTTTTTGTATTACTTTTGTTGGCGGTTAGAATCAAAAAAGCAAGAATAGATATAGAACCAGTATTCAAAATTTACAACTATAGCGATCGCAATCTCCAAGTTCTCTTCATATGATATTGAAATTTACTTATACATTTAAATTTTAAAAATATATTGGGAAGCATTGTTTTTGTTTTTTTTTCATATTTTTAATCAGTTATATAAAAACTTATGCTGGTCCCCGTAAATAATACAGTCAGTTCTAAACATTTCAATTTAAGAACCTCACTAAATTAATTTTTTTTCATCTCAGTTCATGCATAAAATTGAATAAAGTTAAAATATATCATGTTTTATTAAATTAAAGGAAAAAAAATCTAGCAAAAGTCATTTTAGCTTTATTTTAATTAATTTTATGGAAATATAGGATTTTTAAAATCAAAACAACCACTTTGTGTCAATAACTCTGATATTTATGTATTTTTTAAATTAATTTGAAGAAAATCTAGCATAAATAGATCACTTTAGCATTATTTTAATTTATTTTATAAAAACAGAGCCGTTTTTATCCAAAAATAAGACTTTAGTGCTGATTGTGCTGCTATCTATTGGAGATTGTGCGGAACTATATTAATAATCAAGCTGATTGTGGAGTAGAGTTGCACCGAAAAATGAAAATTTGTATTAGGATAGTGGGAGGTCACAGGAGCTTAACTAGTAGAGCTCATAGCTTGTCGAGAAGTGTTGCCGTCTTGTGGCAGTTGCTAGAACTACAAGTACACGTGCACTTGAACTGACCTACTAGTTGAGCTCCTTTGACCTCCCACTATCCTAATACTAAAATAAAATTTTCCAGCTAGAATTAGGTTTTGCTTTCTGCCGTCGCTCCAATTAACACTAAGTCTGGATGGTGCTGCTACCTGTAGTTGATTATCTGAACTACGATCAGTATTTCATTTAATTTAATTCTTTTATTATTAAAATATCTTCATTCATTTCTCTTAATATATTAAGAGAAAATAAGTTACATATTTTTTTTTATGTCTGTTTTCTTGACCTGCATTTTCCTGTGATATGACAAAATACTTTTTGTAAAATAAAGATCTTTAATAAAATATTGTTTAGAAAGAAAAAAATGTTATAGAAGTTTGTTTTAAATTATACCATCATAAATGATTTATTAAACTGCATATTAAGTGATATTTTGATAAAATGAGGAGAAAATAAAGACTATTTATGGAGAAAAAAGAAAAACAATAAAAAATTTTATATTTAATTAAACTAACTACCTTTGAGTAGTATACTATTCACATATATAATTAAAATTGTTAGAAATAATGTTTTTATGACTAATGTTTTGTTCTTGAAAGAAAAAAGTTTTGAAAATGGCTTTTTTGAGCCGAAACGTTAAATAATAATTCTTGAATAAATAAAATAAAAACTGTTTTAATTATAAAATAAAAAGTTGTGTGATTAAAAGTGGTTTTCATAATTTACCATATATTGTTTAAATATAATAATCATAAAAATAAATCTCACAAAAAATGAATAATCTGAATAAGGTATTTTATCATACCTCTTGTTATTTTGTTAATATTATGTTATCAAATCTGCCCTTTAAGCTTTTCTGGGCGGTGCTGGCCTCTTTCTATATTCTTTAAAATGAAATTTATAAAAATAATTATGAAACAACTCTTTTTTGTTTAAATTTTTACTTCTTATTGTGCATATTAGTGTAGGGAAGCGTTCAACCAGTTTAAATTTTTTACAAAAGTGTACAATATGAAAAAAAAATTCTTATATCATGAGTTATAATTTATATTAATTTTAAATCTCCAGGATGCTTTGTTTTAATTTGAATACTAACACTTACTTCATAATAACAATGAAAAACTATAATTTTGTAATATACCACTATTTAATCCATCCAAAATTTTCTTTAAAACTGGTTTGCCTTTATTGGAATATGGCTAGAAAGAAGTGAGGTGACATATTTTATTAGGTTGAGAACTAATCATGGCAATATTCTATTCAATTCAATTCTTAAACTTGACAAAAATAAAGGTGAAACCAAATTGTGTATTATGTGACAAAATCGAGGATCCACTACATCTAGCGATATCGTATAAGCCATTGAGAGGAGGAAATTAAGGGGTCGGTACTCATTATTCCAACAATAATAAAAGAGCAATATCATGAAGGACACAATGAACTTAGAAATTTTATAAGAAAAATAAAATTATGGCTTCAATACTTGAAAAAGCATTAACTTCTGGCAAAATGGGATTTTGACTAAAATCTTAAAGCAAGAAAAAAAAGAAAGGAACTAAATAAGAGAAATATTATTGCAATACAATTTTAATATAAATTAATATAGTAATAGCTTAAGAAATTTATTTAAAATTGATTTTTTTGAAAGGGAGTGAGCATCCATGACATAATTGCTTGGTGGCACCATTGGTCTTAGGCCAATTCTGGCTATATGCACAAAAAATATTTTAAATATACACTTAACTAAAGCTGATGTGCTTATCAGTATAGGGGAGCGTTTAACTAATTTAAATGTTTATAAAAGTATAAAGTATGAAAAAAAATTCTTATATCATGAGTTATAACTAAGATTAATTTCAAATCTCCAAGATGCTTTGTTTTAGTTTAAATACTAACACTTAGATTTACTTACTTCATAATAACAATAAAAAACTATAATTTTGTAATAACATTCTATTTTCAAATAATAGGAAGAGGATTGTATTAAACAATATGTTCCATCAGTATGAAAGGTTTGGTTTTATTTATTAGTTATATATTACATACGTACAAAAAATATAATACATGTAAATTATATATACACATCACATTATATACATATGTGACATTAGTGGAAGCCCCAAAGTCATGGTACTTTAGCGAAAATAAAGCTGGGCAGAATATCAGAAGTCTTGATCCCAATTTGACAATTCGTCTGGAGGGAATTCTGTTTCTTTAGGAAATTTATCAAAATATGAAGTATCTGTAGTGCCATTCAGCTGTAAGAAATAAATAAAAATATATTAACAGAAAATGGCTATCAATACACCTCAAGGACAAGTTATAAAATAGATTATTACTAGTAGGCCCGTGCGAAAAATTCGCACAGCATATTGTAAAGTGATCAAATGTCAAATTAATTAGGAAAGAAAATAATGCAACGTATCATAAGATATAGAAATCAATTGTTACTTTATCGATAAATATAATCGACAAGGAAAACAAAAATTAATTTAAAACTTCATTAATGTTTGGAACTAACATTTTTACAAATTTCAATAAGCTGTATCTTTGTTAAAAATTGTCCGATTTCGATGATTTCTTTTCTTTTTGTAGGGAATTTAGTAATCTTTTATATAATCATGTGCATAACTAGGGGAAAAGTGTATAATTTTTTAGTTATTCGCAAATAAAGATTATTTCATAACTTGTTTGCCTGAATTTTCGGGGTGACTGGACTATTTTTTCCGCCTGAAGGAGAAGGAAACCTTCAAAATTGGTGGCTCAATCTTGAGATTTGGTGAAAAATTAACGATGATATGGCTTACCGATCAAAAATACCATCGATACATAATATAAACTCCTCTCTCTATGATACAGGCCTCAAGTTGACGAAATGAGACATGTATTCAATGACAGTACTACAATTAATGTAAGGTTGTGTGGAATCTGATCTGTGGAAGCATCAAAATCTTCTAGGTCCAATTTGTCCCGTATCGATCAACATACCTACCACCGTTCCAGTATTGAAGCTTAGCAAAATGTTTGTATCGACTTCATTTATTTTAGAAAGAAAAACAAAAGTGGAGAATACTATTCGCTAAGCCCCCATGAAATTCTGAATCCAACGGTACCCCATTCACGGTATTTGAGCATGACAGGAACTTATATTTGGTACAAACCCGATTTCGAGCCTTACTGTAATAATATATGTGAGGATTATATTTCCTGTATTTTTTTAGGTCTATTTATGTGTAAAATAAAAACTAAATGTATCAAATCTTTGAAAAGTACAAATAAAATATAAACCAAAGCATTGTAGAAGTTCCTTCACTATTTCATACAGTGGGAAGCAAAATTTTCGTACAGGCAATGGTTATCAATATTTTTTCTGACATTAGTCTGACTTAAAGAAATAAAAACAATTCTTCACTATATTTTTTTAAAAATTTAAACAACTAAATATAAATTCATTTCTACTTTTATTAATAATTGCACCAAAAATATTTGCCTGACAATAAATACAAATATTTTAAATAAAATAAGAATTTGAATGCAGCAAAGTATTCAAACAAATTCATATTATATAATAATTTATGTACTTATATTAAAGTCAAAAGTTTTAAATTAAATTAAATCTTTAATGAAGTTCTTTCATCATATAAGCATTTATAAGGCTCATCTTCGAAGTAAATTTCCCCGATTCCTCCAGCAATTTAGTTTTAAGACATTTTACTGACGATATATTTTCATTTATGGACTATGGATCAACAGGGGGACATAAATGTTCGATAGAATTTAAATCTGGACTCCTTAAGAGAGTAGTTTCATGTTCATTTGGATAATTACATAGCAGCATTTACCGTGTGTGGATAACTTAGGATTAGGAGTTACTATCCTGGTAAAATTTGAATGTTTGTTCTATACCTAGTTTTGCTGCTCTAATATTAACAGTTTATGAGAATAACAATAGGAATAAATCAGAAAAATTAAAAAAAAAAACAGCAAGACCAGATACAATCCAGAGAATATTAAAATAATATGGATTTAAAATCAGAAGTTTTCATATATATTTAAACTTATAATAATTTATATATTTATTATAGTTAAAAGGTCAGAAAAAGACTTGACATAAATTTAATGAATAAGAAAAAATTGGTTGACTTTTACAAAAGAGCTTAAGAAAAAACTTAAACATTATTTGAGTGATGTAATATACTCAGATGAGAAGAAATTCAATATCAGTAGTGAGGAGGAAAGCTGGAAGGGAATTAGAGAAGAAGAATTTGTCTGCTAAAATGAAATGTGGAGATGGATGTATCCTTATGAGGGTGAATATGTCTGCATGTAGAGTCTGGACTTTGGTTTTTACCAATGAAATAACCGAGAAATATAAATTTAAAAGGGATAAAAAATAAATGAAGTACTGGTAATGGTAAAAGAGGGTATAAAACAAACATTCAAAGTTTCGCAGAATAACAACTCCTAGTTCCAAGCTAAACACACAGGAATGGCTGCTATGTAATTATCCAAAAGAACACAAAACTTTTCTCCAGAGTCCAGATTCAAATCCTATGGAAGTTTTATGGGATTGTGTTGATCCACAGATTATAAATGAAAATATATCGTCTGTAAAATATCTTAAATCTGAATTGTTAGAAGAATAAGGAAAAATATCATCCCTGTTGACTTCGAAGTTGACCCCCATCAATGCTCAATGACTTCAAATCGTACAATAATACTGAGGACTGCAGGCAAGATATTAATTTAAACCTTTTAACTATAATAAATATATAAATTATTATAAGTTTAAATATATATGAAAACTTTTGCCGAATTAAAAATCTTTTTTCATAATTAAAATTTTATTTAAAATACATGTATTTTTTTGTTAGGAAAATATTTTTGATAAATTTAAAAAGAGAAGTATTGAAGTTATACTTAGACATTTAAATTAAAATAATATGTAGTGAAGGATTGTTTTTATTGATTTTTTTCTTCTTAACCAATGTGTGTATGGAGACTTTTGCTGCCCAGTGCATATTTTATTGACAAAAAAAACAACTTATAATCACTGTAAAACCAACTTAGTATGTTTCAATTCAGTAAATTTGCCAGAGGAATAAAAACAGTTTATTTTCCCATATATTTCCTTTTGAAAAGAAAAAGGAAAGTAAACAGTTTTTATTTTTATTAGTTAGCTTGAATTGAATTTTGTTTGACTAGTGGAGATCCAACAGAAAATTTTAAATAAAATCCTCTGAGTGTGTCAATTCATTAAAAATTGTGATATGTTATGTTGCTTCGGGAGTATAAATTTCACTAAATAATCACCTTTGGTATTATAGGTGGAGTTATAGTTCTAGAACCGAGACCATTCCAGTCAAATCCTTGAAACCATCTGAAAGCAAAAGAAAAATGAAAAATATTATATCATATGACATTTATTTAAAAAAAGGGATAACTAATGAAAACAAATTGTCAATATAGTATTTTTATTAATGCGAAATCCAGACTATGACAATAATAAAATAGAGGAAAATATTCCTTTATTGCCCGATCCACTGCCTTCTGAAATCCGCTATGCCTCTTCCTTGTCCTCATTTAAATATCATATTTACCAATTCCTTCTCACATCCCAAAATGACATTATACAATGAAATAAATATTGCGAAACAGATTTTGACTGAGGTGAATGGTTGTAAAAATTGATAGAGTTTTAATTTTAAAAATCAACCCATGTTTATTTTATTTTGTTCTCTTTTCATTTAAATAATTTTTTTTAATCTTTTTTTTTCTTTTCAAAATGGTGTTATTTTCACTTGTTTTAATTTAATTTTACTGAAGATACTATATATTCTTTAACATGGGCTAATGTAATTTTTGGCCAGATGTAGTTTTTATTTTTTGTTCACATCTGTTATTCATAAGGGACCTTGTCCCAGAATAAAGTTTACTTTCTATCTATCCGTCTATCTATAACCAGAAAAATTACCAAAGGGTTAATTACTGGTGTTTGAGAGAATAAAGACTATTTTTAAGGAGTCTTTCAACATTATCTTAAAAATAATTTGTGTATTTTTTGAGGTTTTGTTCCGCTTTGATTAAATTTTGTAAACATGTACTGTTCAGTAATGCCAGAAATGACTCAAGTGATATTAAAATAATCTAACATGTGGTTCCTTACAGAAAAATTAAATTAATACCTTAAATCTTTAAACTATTTTGCTCTTACTTGTGCTTTTTAATATCTAATATTCCTCCATGATGGCAGCCCAATCTTTCCCCGGGGAGTTCCTTGCAAAGTTTCTTAATTAGGTTTTGTGCTGTCTTTGTTATGTTTCTCGGGAAGTCGACGCTATCGATGCCCTTTAGAATTAGATTGTAAATCTTCATTGGATCATTAGCAGAAAACGGTGGTCTGAAATAAAAAATGTACATTTCAAAACATTTTTAAAAATAAAACTTGGTAATAATGAAGAATTATCAGACTATTGTTCTAAGGATTTTAGTGAAACGTAATTCTAATGATTGATACACTCAATTTTTTAATAAAAAAGAAATTATATCTTAATAATGAAATTCAGAGGAAGTATTTTTAGAATAAAGCAAAACAATATGAAGTTTATTATAAAAATAATAGTTTCTTAACTAAAGAGGTCATTTTACATAATTATTGAAGCAAGTATATAAATAAATAGTTTTATACTTGATTTAAAACTAATCAACAGAAATAAATGAGTTAAAGCTGAATGCAGATAAAACTAAGGATAGTCTTATCAGTTCCCTTCCTTACTCTCCTCTATTCTTAAATAAATAATTAAATTAAATAGTATACAGAAACAAGTAAAGTTGACATGTTTGCGGAAGTTTGAATATGAAGTAGGTGGGGGAATAGGAATTATTTGAAGGAATTTGTCGATGAGGATTAATGAATAGAGGTAGGTAAAGAGTTCCTAAAGGAGGTGGCAAGAATCATGAAGGATTTTCTGAAGGAAATAGTTTTATGGGAGAGGATAAATAGATCTGTAGGTAGAGACCTTTTATTAAGGTGAAGAAAGTGGATAGAGGAACATAGAGGAAGGAGTTCTGGGATGTAGAAAGGATTTTTGGTTCTGAGGACTTGGAAAAGGAAAACATTAAGAAAGAATTATTGTCAGGAAGTAGGATAGAACTGCTTAAAGTTTACCATCAGAAAACATAAGAACGCCTGGAAAACCCAAAGATGAATCTTAGGAAGTAATGTGTTTAATAATTCTATAGTTCTAATGGTTTATTTCCTAAGAGGTCATTGAGAGAACTAATAAGTGTTTCCTATTTTTGTGGTAGTGCCAGATTTACAGAGCTTTCTAAATGTAAAAATGAACATATTTGCAACACACAATCTGATGATAGATGGATAGTACTATATTTTTTATATTTTGCCACCTGAGAATTCTGAAAATATAAAGAGGTGCATCTGATTAGCTGAATTAAATTTAAAACTTCTGGAAAAACAAAGTGTCTTCAGTTTGATAACTTCATACTACTTTGTTTTATGAATGCAGTATGTTTTCAACTATTTAAATAAAACTTAAAGTATTTTAGTGCAAACAATACTTCTAGTTCTTTCTTCATCTGGTATATATTTTATCTTTGTACTGAATTTATATCAACTGCAAATGATATCTTAAATAGAATCTTTGCTAGTGTAATTATCTACGATTGTTCAGATTGATAGATGTTTATGGTTCTAATGGCTTCTGAAAGCTTTTTCAATAAATTATCCAAAGACCTAATAGAGACTTCATATATAACGAAAATAAATTAGAGAAATGTAATGGAATACATACATGCCAGTTAACAGCTCAAACATCAGGATCCCAAGAGCCCAGTAATCTACAGCTTTATCATGGCCTCTATTGAGGATGACTTCTGGAGCAACGTATTCAGGTGTTCCGCAAAATGTCCATGTTTTGGCACTGCATGATGGTAATTTTTTGGCAAAACCAAAATCAACCTAAAAATATGAAAAATGAAATATTTCAAAGTTAAATCAGTTACTTAGCAACTAAATGTTATTAGAAGTAAAATAAATAATTATTTCTTCATTCATAGAATTGATCCTGGTACAGTTTTGTTCCTTTGTTTAATGATTAGTACGTAATGTTAGACATGTACAGTCCAAGTACATAATAAAAATAAAATAAAAAAAGGATAGAAAACTAATAAGAAAAATCTGGTGCAGAGCACACCATACAAATTTCAATTACCACCTTTCTTTTAGCAGAAATCAGTATTGTCAGAATCAAGGAAGTTAAAGTAAAAATTACAGACGACACAACATAATATTTAAAACAGTTAATTACCACACGTTTTTCACAGTGGTCTAATGTATTATATTTATAATTTTTTTGTCTCTAACCATTTCTCCTTTTACAACTCAATATTTCAATTATTTATTTGGCTATAATAAATAACTAAGTGGCACGAAATATTTTTAGTTTGATAAGAGTGCCCCTGACAAAGATGGTTACCATATTTATTTATATTTCATTTTAGGTGTTTTTATTAGTTTAAACACTCATAACCATAAATTTTTTAATTTTTGTATTGCTAATCTACACAATTTAATATTATCAACATTAGCATTTAAGAAAACCATGCATGTAACATTTGGAAGTCTAACCTTTTGGCCAAGCTCGGGTGCACACTCGGGTTTCTTTAGTCCTCTTTATGAACCCTTATTTCCTTCTTTAACCCTTATTGAATAGAATTAGAAATATTGTAGAATTTTTTTTTTATCCCTTCTGGGCAACCCTGTATTATTTCAAATAAACAAAATCAGAGGTACTTTGGAGGAAGAAATTTTGAAGATTCGGCATTTAAGCCCTGTTAAACATCAGTGAAGATGAGGCCTAGATGATATAAAAAAACATTTAATTGTACAATAATATACCGAGTTTAATGAAAATTGTTAGAGCAGTTTTTGAGAAATATCCCAGTTGCTGTAATATCCCAGGCATTTACCTATTTTAAATATGTAAAACCAGTTTCTTAAGACTTTTTGTTTTTGATCTAGGATAATCACTCACTCACAGACCATTTTGCGGGACTTCGTTATTTGGACTCAGGGTATTTCAAAACATATATTTCCATTGAAAACTTGGATTTGGAAATTTTCATGCAATACTTTCCCACACTATATATTTCTTATATAGGTAGCTGAAAGTAGTGAAAGGTGGGCGGGGTGGCCGAACGGGCTAAAGCGTGTTCACAGCACCGCTGTTGCCCGGCAACCTGATATATGACTAATTGATAAAAATAGTCACGAGTTCGCGTCCCAGTGCCAGGGGAGTTTTAAATCTCCGCCCTCACCCTCTGGTCTGGGAAAACCCTGTATAGCCTTAAAGGCGAGGAAGGGAAGAATACAAAAATTAAATAAAAAAGGTAGCTGAAAGTAAAAATACTTACCATTTTGACAAAACCTTGATTGTCTAGCATCAAATTTTCAGGTTTTAGATCCCTGTAAACAATGTTCCTTCGATGTAGGTAGTCCAAGGCTTCTACGACACACGCAGTAATGAAACATGCAGTTGAGTCATCAAAAAATGCCCTGTCTCTGAGCAAACTCCAAACCTCTCCTCCCAAGCAAGCTTCCATCAAGAGATATACGTATTTGTTATCCTTGAATGTTTGAAATAGTCTGCGAACAAAATGGTTTTTACTTAAATTTAATGTATTTTTTTTTCTGGTTAACTTATTGTCAACAATCCTTACTTAGTGCCCTTGTGTCTGATAAGTGGAACTGAGTTAATTAAGGTAAAAGCATCAGTAGCTTACATTCTCAAACAAATTTCTTTGAACTTTTAAGTGTAAAAACTTAAATATCGACTTTATTTTATTTTTCTTATAGATCTATTTCTCACCTTGCCATGCCACATTTAAAATCCATGAAACATTCATCTAAATTTAAAAAAAATGAAAATTAAGAGAATAGTTGGGTCAGTAACTGACACTGTTTGATTTGGAATGTTCCTATAGCTAACAGGGATGAGAACAAGGATTTAGTTATGTGAAATAATGAGTTGAAATTGCATATTCTTCATTTTAAGATTAACGAAAATTACCTTTAACTAATTAATATTTTGCGTTTCACTGTATCAATTTATCGGTAAATGCTGGACAATATCAAGAATCTGTTTTTGGCAATATGAAAATCTATTTTCGCTTCTTAATTAATCTACGTCTTTAGCAATTTTTTTTTAAACAATAGAATCGTGGTTGGTACATTTTTAAGACCCATTATACTGAGTATATCTCTTTGAATTTCTGCAATACAGACCTGTCAACAGCTGGTAAAAGACCTAATATAAAGCCCCAGTAGTTGATATCCATTAAATTTTGCAATTCCTTCAATAATATAGGTTAAAAACAGACAAAACATAATCTAAAGCACTCACAGAAAAAACAAAACAAAATTTTTTAGAAAAAATGAAGTAGTTAAAGAGAAAAAGGCAAATCTTAGCTATGACGCCCTTACTGATAGATTGTTGTTTCTTGGACACTAAGCAGACTTTGAGGGAACTTCCTATTTCGCTACTCATTATTTTGGTAACACTTCCCGGCAAGACTAAAGCAAAGCAGACAAACATACAAGAAGAATTCACACATTTATGAAATAAAGGTCTAAGAGGACCTGAAATCATATTATTCACATTTTTCAAGGAGGACGTTAGGTTCTGGTGCTTTTACCAAACCAAAATGTTTTAAATGAAATGAAAAAAAAAATATTCATGTTATAATTCTCTAATAGTTACTAGGGAATAGAAAACATTTCCAGCATTACACCCATTAATCTGGTAAGATTAAAGAAGAAATGGTGATTATTATTTTGTAAGTAGGTTTTTTGGTGGTAAAGTATTGTTTTGTTTTTAATGTTCAACAGTAATATAAATACACACTCTTGAAATTATTTAAATTTAAAAAAAGATATTTCAAAGTTATCTTGTATTAATATTCTTTCAACTTTTGAGGTTGTTATATGTAGCTAATAATTCTAGTTATGAAACTGCAGAACAGAAAAGTTTGAAAAAATGAAATAGTCAATTTTACCTGCAAACAAAAGGAGAGCGAACAGAGAACAATATATCTCTTTCGCTAAAGACGTGAGTAATTTGATGGGTTTGGATGATATGGCACTTCTTCATGCATTTCAAAGCATAAACAGCTCCTTGTTTTGATTTCACAAGTTCCACTCTTCCAAAACCACCGACTCCTAATGTAGCTACTATGTCCAGGTCTTCAAGATCTAGTTCTTCATAATCTAAAGACAAGAATTAAAGTTTTTCATATTTGTTGAAGAAAGTTTTGAATAGTGTATTGCTAGTTTACTGCAAAAAGACACTAACAACTGGAGTTTACAGCCAATGGGTCGCCGATTTAAATATTTTTTTTTTTGGTGGTACAACTTTGAAAAATATTAGGCACGTATGCCAACGTTCGTTCCAATTTGCCTTACAAGCCAAAAAAAATGATTTATATAATTATAAACAAAATTTATGTTATTAATTTTTGCTATTTCTTTTAGGTTTTAGTTTCTGAATTTTTAGCTTATTATATACCAATCAATATATTTTTTTGTGCAGAATAAGATAAATATATTGGCTATGCTATTAAATAAGTTATAAATTACAAAAACTTAAAAGTACTTTTAGCAAAGTAAATCAAGTAAATTTTTGTAATAAATAAACAAGTTAGATTCGTTTTTATTGTCTTTAAAGTCTCTTAAATATAAATTTTTATAGAAAGCTCAAATTGCACATTTGAGTACTTGATTTTCGAGGATTTTTTTTTCCGGTTCTTAACTAAACTATGCATAATCTCAGAATTTTCTTTAAAGTCAACATTAATACAACTGTTAGAAAGATGAATGTCTGCTCTTCAAACTTACATCAACAACATTTAGATTTCATTCCTTTTTAAGTTAGAAAAAAAGACAAAACTTCTTAGAAATTTGTATTATATATCTTTGATTCTTATTTGTTTACTGAGGTCGAGTTTTTACCATTTTGTGAAACATAAAGAGCCCTACATACCAAACAATTTTCATATGAATCGGTGAGGACGTCATGATTTTATCACAATGTTTGTGGTTGTTGACAATATTTCAAAGGGTTCAAAGCATAGGCAAAAATTGAATGCAGACAATTTTAATTTTTATTGCTATAAAAGGTTATCTGAGGTGCGAAAAACTATCAACTTTGTTTTTCCAAATCTTTAAAAAAAAAAAAAAATCTTTACTTAGATACTTCTACATACTCTAGATGTGAGAATAATTTGGACCAATCGATGTAGCAGTGTGGGGGTAATTATTTTTTTGGAGAGAAACAAAGTTGATATTCATTGTTTGCACAACAGTAAATCCTTCAATATGAATTTTTATAGCAATTGAAAAATTATAATTTTCTGCATAAATTTGTACATTGAAACTGACCTGCTAACCTGCTAACTTTTGTCGACAACCAAAAAAACTGTGATAACTTTATGACATCTCTACCGATTCACATGAAAATTGTTAAGTTGAGCTCTATTTGCTACACAAAATGATACAAACTTGAACTCTGTAAACAAATAAAATCCAAAGATATAAAATAAATTCTTTTGAGAAAATTTTCTTTATTATTTCTAGCTTAAAAAAGAATGAAATCTGAATATTATTGATTTGAATTGGAAGAGCAGTAATTTGGCTTTTCAACGGTTGTACTAACGTTGAATTTTAAAAAAAAAAATCTTGAAAACTTAGAAATTCTTTAGTTAACAGTCAAAAAAAAAAAAAAAAGATCCTCCAGGAAAACCAAGTACTCAGATTTGTAATTTTTTATTTTTTATAAAATTTCGTATTTAAGAGTCTTTAAAGACAAAAAAAATTAATCTAACTTATTTTTTCATAATAGGAATTTACTTGGCCGATTTTCCTGGAAATGCTTTTTGGATTTTGTAATTTATAACACTTAATTCTTTTAATAACATAGTCAATACTTTGGTGTTATTCTGCACAAAAACAAAACCGTGTGGTAAATAGAAACCTAAAAATTGGGGCAAAAATAAATAACAAAAAGTTTGTTTGAAATTATATAAGGTATTTTTTTTTTCTTAGCTCCTAGAGCTCATTGGAACGAACAGCGGGGCATGTTTTTAGACCAAATATTTGTATATTTATTTCTTTGATATAAAATACAATTAATACTCAAAGTATAGTCAATTGCTATCTACTATCATTAGCCATCTACTAGACAATTTCTCGATCCCACGCTGATACGATTCTTTGGGATGACCGTCAAAGAACTCTTGGACTGCAATTTCAACTTCCGCAACATTATCAAGTTTTTTTCCTAGAAGCAAATGGGCTATGGATCTAAATAAGCAGTAATCCATTAGTACGAGGTCAGGACTATATGGTGGTTGAGGCAAGAGTTTTTCAGACAATGGTTTTTCAATAAATTTTAACAAATTTCTAACCTCTTAACTGATTGATGAGGAGTAAGTTAGTGAGGGAACAGTCTACTGCTCTTTTTCACCATCCCCATGGTGAGTAGATGACGACTAACAATATCTTTCGACATACCACACTCTCTCTGGCAAGTTCACAAGTACTTGTGAACAGGTTTGACTCACCAGATTTGAAAAAAGTCGAATGGGATTAAATAAGCTCATAGAATGCTCTGAAGGAATTATTAATTATTGGTAAGTATTAAATAGGATTAAAATATTTACACTCCTTTGAAATCTTGATTTGATAAAACGGTAATTTTTTTTATACAGTAATTATTATTATTTTTATACAGGTTATTATTATTTTTTTATGTAGAATCACCAAAAAATGGTTTCAATATCAACTTTGTTTCTCTCTAAAAAAATTTTAACTCTAGATACCAGGACGGTTTAGAAAAACTATTATATTTGGTAGATGGCTACACGAAAAGAACAATTTGGTGCAATCAACCTACTAGTGTGGAGGTAATTATTTTTCTTGGGAAAAACAAAGTTGATATTAATTTTTTGTATAACAGAAAACCCTTACATGGGAAATTTTATAGCAATCGAAAAAATTGATTGAAATCAGTGACCTATTGACTGTAAACTCTTCTTGTAAATACATTTTTGATATAACTAACCTTATAGCAACGCTTTTGTGAATTTAAAACTTATTTATTGATGGAAAAACATACTAAGTGTATCAAAATGACAAATACCCTTTTATATATCAAAAACAGTTACACTAAGTGTAGAATTTTCTGTTCACAGAGAGAAGACTTAACCAAGTACGGAGTGATTTAATTTTATTAAATGTTACTTAAAGACTTTTTGCAATAAACATATAATATTTTTAAATTAATGCAATACAAGTTGTCAACCAAATAAATATAACAGGTGATACTTACCAGTTTCACTATCTGTGAAACTATCCCTGCTTGGAGGCCTAGAAACTTTATTTTTGTCCCCATAGTCCTTATCTTGGAGCTCACTAAGATCTCCAATTAATAGCAAGAATGACCTGTAAGCAGAATATTTCTCTTGAATGAATTCATTTTTCTTTGGAACATTCTCCTCCAACATATATTAAGTAATTCAAACATGAACTGAAACTTAAAGAAAGTATTATTTTTATTCACATTCTTTAACACATGTTTAAAATCTTTAATACTCATTGAAAAGGAGATAAATGTTGAAATCAATGTGGAATGCCAAATATGAATACTTTTTAATGCTTAATTTAAAAAATCTTTAGGATTTAAAGCTTATGGGATGAAATTATGTTGTTTTTACAATTTTCCATTTAAACTAATGGATATATTTAGCCATAATTTGTACTTCAAAACTTTGAATTGGCTTATAGTCATAAGACCACTGTAAACATCCAGTAATTTTTATGGAAAACAAAATAAAAAAAAAAAATTGCTTTGTAAATATAAAAACGTAAATTTTTATGTTATACATATACGTTATTATATTTATTATTATAAATATGTAAGATATGTATGAACATCATTTTATCATTCATCAAACTATTTTTATATTCTGGAGAAACAAGTTTTTACTTATTATTGATTTACTATTTTCTATGAACGCCTCACTTCACTTCCAACCTAGTTTAAAGGTTTATGAAATAAATATACAAATAGAAAAAAAGAAGAAGTAAACAGTATCAGTGATGAAACCATTTATATAAATCCTACATTTTAATTAAGCCAATGAATAAGTACTCTTTGTGAATCCAAATAAAATACATAAAAGTACCTCCAGAGGACAAGGTGCCATATAGAAGTAGTAAGTATACAAACAAATAGTTTAAAATAATTTGAAAGGTTTAGGTAATTAAAAGGGCTCATGAAAAACTCTGTTGTACTCCTACATTAAGTTTTAAATAAATATCTATCGTAAACCAACGACTACCTGTCCTACAGTTTCCTTTAACAACACTCCACTTATCCCTGTTGAGCAAATTAGATACCTAGGACTCCACCTGGACAAGCGACTAACTTGGAATCCTCATACTAGACTGAAACGATAAGAAACCGCTCGACGTTTCCGATTACTTCAGCACTTACTAGACAAATGCTCTAAACTCCCCATTAATTACAAAAGACTTATATACTTGACTATAATAAGACCTATTTGGACTTGGGGAGTTGAGCTATGGGGCTCCACTAAACCATCGAATTCCTCTCGCATCCAATCCTTACAATTCCAATCCTTATGTCCAAATTTACTAGATGTATTTATGTAATACAGTTGTAAATGTCATTAAGAAATAAAAAAAATTAAAAAATAAATATCTGGTTTTATCACATTAAATTTCAATTTTCGCATGATTAAATTTATAAATATGTGTACACTAATTTCACTGTTCATTCAAAATATACAATATTGCAGTTGAATTAATTCTCTCTCCACAAAAGCACAAAGTTTAAATAATAAATTCTTAGGTGTCATTTTGTGCCATAAGGTATTTTAAACAGTCATTAAAAAAAAAAAAATAATAAAATTGGATAAGGAGTTGGAAATAAATAATCATTTACTGATTGGTTTGAAGGCTATTAAAGAACCTGGAAGTTTTTAATAGTCAAAAGTATTTTTTTTAGGCATACCATATCTTGCTTGATACTTTATCAAATGAAATAAATGAGCTGTCATTTTAAAAATTACCTCCCCAACTAGGGCCAAAAAATATCCCCCAGAAAAAGCAAGGAAAAATTATGAAGAACATATCACGCAGTATACTGGTATAACATTTATTTATAGCTTACTATATGACCTCTAGATCGTCATTTGGGCTTTCATCTTATGACAGAAGAATATCATTTTGAATGTTTCCAAATTCTCTTCAAAATAAAAAAATTCAAAATCGGAACCTTATTAGCAAAGATAAAGTCTTTTGAAGTTTTTGTTAATTATTTACAATAAAAATCATTATAATGAACTGAAAAAAAAACATATATAAATATAGATAAGATAAAAAATAGTTTAAATAATTGTTAAATACAGCTTACTCTCTATCAAGTGTTAGACACTCAACTCCTGGTGAAAGTGCGATGACGTTTGCAGTTCTTGAATCTTCTTTGAGCAGTGCTTGTTCTCCAAAATAATCTCCTCTAGATAGTTTTCTTACCTCTTCTTCTGTCCCATCTGCAATTTCATAGATAATTATCATATAACCAAACACAAGTAATATTGTACATACTAATATAATATTACTTCATTTCAAATATGAATTTTACACCATAAACGGAGAGAAAACAAAAATTAAATGAGAAAGAAATAGCCTGGTGATAGCCAATGATGACTGAAAATTTATAGGCATGATTTCAAAAATACTGTTGGGACCTAATCATCCTTTTTCCCCCGTGAATCACTGATTATTCAGAAAACAAGAGTGATCAATTATCTTTTAATTCGTTAATAAACAGGTTGCTTATTTCTACATCTCTTCTCTACATTCTTTGAATACCAGATCTCAATTCATCAATTTCTCTATACCAGATCTGGTCGACCCAAATTGTTTGATGTAAGTAATACTACAGTGGACCACACTTTAGGTGAACGTACTTTTAAGAAGTTTAATAAAAATTAAAAATGAATAAAACTTTATTGTTATATTATGGTTTAATATAATTAACTCTTGAGTCTTAACTAATGAGTTACTGGTTTTATCTTTTCTTTCAAAAAAGTTTTCTAATATTTTCAGAAACCTTTGGCATTCTTGAACATAAAGTATATAATTGGAGTTTGTAGTCACAATTCTGCATTATAAAAATAACATGCAAATTTTTATTTATTTAAATTTTTTTGTATACATAAAATGAGGAATAAAAATTAAAATAGAATCATAAAATCTCCCAGCAGGTCACATAATTGAACATGGACTGCATGCAGCTATAATATATTTTCTGCAAAATACCTGTTGTTTTCTTCGTCACTTTAACATTTCCTCCACTCAAAATGTAAAACGTGTCTCCTGGTGTTCCTTGGCGTACAATGTAATGACCCCCAGGATAAAATTCCTGAAAAAAGAAAATAATAATAAAAATATCTAATATTTTAAAACAATAATCATTTCATCTTTCTAACTTATATAATTTTTTTTATATCAGCCTAAGATTTACCACTGTGACAAGAAGATAAATGTTCAACTTTTGAGAGATTTCTATGGTATTGAAGATTTAGACATAACTATTAGATAATAGTTGATGTATTCTTACATAATTTATAAGCTTACATAGAAAAAACAAGGCAAAACAAGACTCTGAAAACAAGTTAAAAAATCACTGCATCACCTAAGTGAAGAGAACATCCTTTTTTCACTTGTAAAATCATTTCTCAGTCACGAAAGGGAGTAAAATTTACATCTGATATCCCTCTTTATTTGTTGACAACACAAAATTCTTTTTCTTAACTATTATGTGTGTAAATAATACTGAAAGTACTAATTATACTAATTAAACATAAACTAAGTTTTAAAAATAATATCACCTTATAAGTATATTTTTTTACTTATTACTTTGTTACTTATATTCTACTTAGGATCCTGATGCTTCAAGAGGCAGAAAAACTTCTTCCCCAGTTTCAAACATTTAAACCCAAAACACTTTTAACAAAAAAAAAATTACTTTGAAATGAATAAATTATTTAAAGAAAATATTGAATCTATATGTAAGACCTTATTTCAATGGTCCTAATTTGATGATTTTATAGCGTGGACTAGAATTTTATCTATAAACATGATTTCGACAACCACATTGCAAAAGTCTGTAAACGCAAAAACTAAAATTAATCATTAAAAAAAAAAAAAACTATACGACTACAACCCATGAAGAGTCTTGGGTTCAGTACTATTTAGAGAAAGCACTGTTTCTTGGTCTATGGTTGTGCAAGAAGGTGATTTGATCAAGATCAAGCAAAAAAAAAAAAAAAAAGAAATCAGGTTTTCCCCTTAATTAATTATTTTAATTAAGATTACCCACTTTATAGAGGCTGGGTGTGCCACAGGAGGGTCTATCTACCCAGGAAAATTATTCATAAACTACTTATTATTTATTTTATGAACTAAATTTTCCATTAAATATTGCCTGCTTAAGAAACAGATGTAATGTTTTATATAACGTTTTTAGTTTGTATTTCTGAATATAAACGAGGAAAAGATTAACCAGAAAATCTCAATCACTCTTTCTAATTAAATTGTACTTACAGGCTTTTTTAATGTGGCAGTCGATATGATTTGATACAATTAATTTTATTGCTTATTAAAAGCAGAATTCAATCATATTACATATTTTTTATCATCCATAAAAATATATTATATTTATTTTATTATTTTTTTAAATAGAAGAAAAAATATAAAAGAAAAAATGATTGGCACTTATACTTAGATGGTTAGCTTGATTATTATCATTTCAATTCAAAATCATTAGAATGACAGATAAAGCAGCAATAAAAACAATAATCTGAATATTAAAAAATATTAATTCAAAAAATCTGAGATTCAACAAAATATGGTAGAGATACTCATTCAGAAATGTTTATCATTCATAAGTAATTCCGCATAATCTTTATTTTGATTTTTGAGATTGCATTTATATTTTTTTATTCATAGCCCATTCAGGTATCCTCAAACTACTGAGAGGACCTTATTACAGCTCGCACACACTTCAAAAATACTTTTTCCTAGTGTATAGATAAAGGATTATCACTGCACACAAACTGTCTTTATAAAAATAATTTATGGTTTATTATTTTAAAACTGAAATTGCCAAGAATAAGGGGTGGTCTTAAGATGGTTGAAATTACATCTAATTTTCTGTACAAACACTATAATTAAATCTACATCATAATAAATATATAAGATATATACGAACATCATTTCCTTCCATATGTTTGAAGAACATAAATAGACTAATTGAATTGATTTTTAAATTACCGTTATACTATTTTCTAGTTTTTTGTTACAAAAATAATAGGAATCTATAAATCATTGATAATAAAAAAAAATTTACTAATAATTAAGTCTGACCAAAAAATTGATAAATGATTCTAAATTCGTACCAATTGTAATGAATCTGCAATCTTGCTAAGCACGTCTTCATTTAACCTCTGAAGCAATGGAACACTACGAAGAAATAAAATGCTCTCTTCCCTGCGCTGCAAGCCAGACCTTTGCATAATATTCTGGAAAACTCTTCTGTCCAACACCCAAACTTCACCAGTTTCAAGAACTAAAAAACAAATAATGAATAATATTACCTATTTTGAGTAAGACAGTACCATACAGGATATTGAGATGATTGCTGGTAATTCTATTTAAAACATTATAATGAGCAGAAGATTTTGAGTAGTTGAAATTTGAAAGAGGAAGAAAATTTATAACATAAAATTTTTTGTAAATTACATTAAAAAACAAATAGCAGTATTTCAATTTTTTTCCAAAGAAACTAAAAAATTGTAGGGAGAAAAATGTGTATGATTGTATTAATAATCAGGTGTAGATATAGTTGGTCATATAAAGAATTTAAGAGAAAGTCAAAAAAGAAGATACACTGATAAACAAAATGTATTTTTTAGAACTGATGTTATGTATTTAACTGAACTTTTGGCCAAAGTAGGGTCTTGAAAATAATATGGCATTATTATTCAATACATACTTTGTTAACTAAACCATACTGGATAAAAATCGTTATCTGCAATAAAATGTTCAATAAAAGATTAAGTTAAATATAGGAACTTTGAAAACATGAACAGTTATAAAGTATATGCTTCATGCATTATTAATATACCTCTGATTGAAGCAGTTCTTGTGCAGTTATACAGGATTGCCAACTCTCCAAACGCTCTTCCAGGACCCATTTTGCCAAGAACTTCTCCATTCTTCATTACTTCAAACTCTCCACAAGCAGATACATAAAGGTGACTTCCTGAAAATAATTGTTTTTTATTAATTTACATTACATTCACTACTAGTGTATTATTATAAAAAAGAATATTGTTGGTAGGAAATTACCAGCTTCCCCTTCTTTGATCAAGAAACTGCCTTTGACGCAAACTCTCGGGTACATACAATCAATGATCTCCCTCATCTGGCCAGGTTCTATGTTTCTCAGGAAATCATTTTCAAGCAGTGATGTTTTAATAAGCTGCTTGGCTCTGTAAATAAAAAAATATATACAAAAATGTCAACTATAAAATAATTAAATGAGAGCAAAAAACATATCGACATAATGAAAAATTATATGAACAAAACAAAAAACATTACAGAATATGAAGAAAGTATTTTGAGAGACTTAGATATGGCTGAAGCCATGTTTTTCACCATATTTATATAACTATGAACATATTATCTAATTACGGTATTTTGAAAGATAACCATGACCAGTTTTTATTAAAAATGAGAAAAAACCAATTGTTATCATTTTTGTAGATAAACATTATTTATTAACCAGAGCGAACTAGGATCAGAGTACTTACACGTGGAGAAGAAAGACCAATAAAGAACTGCTTACAGAAACTGGTCAATCAATATCCCATGGTATGAATGGCACAGAGGTTAAGAAGGGTGGGGCATTTAGCTCCAATCCATCTGGAAGTCTCCGCTTAACAATGAATAGAAGGCAAAAGACCACGTGGAAGGCCAAAAAACAGATGGATAGACAGCATAAACAAAGATGTAATAGAGCTGCGTGCAAATAACTGAAAAGAAATAGTCCAAGACAGGCAGAGATGGAGCAGGTTTGTATAGACGGCAAAAGATCTACATGTTCTGTAATGCCAACAGAAAAAAAATATATACTGTAGACCATCATTAGAATAAAATGTGGTATTAAATGTCAATACTGTCACAGGAAATTGACAGTAACCCATATTTCAGAAAAATGCCCCTTTTACATCAGTAGGTTTAAAGAATTTGGAATACCCCTGAATATATTAGCACCCATTTTATATTTTCTTTTTTGTAATTTTTTTTATTTAGGCCAGATGTAATCTTTTAATTTGTACTATTTTTTGTTATTCTAAAGGGACTTTGTCCCAGAATGAAGTTATTTTCTATCTATCTATCCATCCCTAGGAAACGAGGAGGAAAAAGTGTCTAAAGTCCAACTTTAAAGAATACATTTAATTAATTTAAAAATGATCCTCCACCACATTCTTTATTTATTCATACTAAATAAAATAACACATTATTATAGTGTTATTAGATTTATGTTATTTTCTTAATAATTCTATTCTGCTTCATATGCGCATATAAAAAAAAAAACCTGTCACACCACAAACCATGAAGGGTCTTAGGTTCAGTACTACTTAGGGAAATTAGGGAAAGCACTGTTTCTAGGTCAACGGTTGAGCAAGGAGGCAATTTGACCGAGATCACGCTCAACCGCCATGTTTTTCCCCTTAATCAATTATTTAATTAAGGGTACCCACTTTATAGAGGCTGGGTGTGCCCCAGGAAGGTCTCATGACCCAGGATCGCCCCACGGCCAATGAAACAGATGAATAAATTTTCTGCCATGAGCCGGGGTTCGAACCTGGGACCTTTAGCATTGGAAGCTCAGTACCCTACCACTGAGCTACCCCACTCCACCAAAAAGTTTTTCTTTTTCTTACAAATTATTTACTTATCTGGGTTCTATAAATGTTTTTATATATTGATATCACTTGATTTTTAAAATTTAATTTAATTCTCTTAATCTATTTTATCTTTTTCTTATTATTAGTTATATTTCTAACACATTATTTCCAAACACCAGTAATTTGATGTTTCAAAATATATAAATAAAAGGTGTGGATGACCAAAAGTTTTATCTAGATTTCCTAATAACTAACTAGATGTTTTTACTTTCAACAATTAATATACGCTTAAATACAAACATACATATAAAACGTTTACCTGAAATCCTTTTCATGCTTAGTGATCTGTATGGTCCCAGCGTTGAGAACGGAGGAAGAGCTCTCACCAGACACCCCCTGCTTCTTGTTGCTATGCCCTTGGCCAGCCATCCCCTGGGCAGTGTGAAGGCTCCCAAGAACTTCATCATTCTTTAGTCTTCCGGTCTGTTGTAATACGCTCTGCAATCAAGTTAAATAAGCATGAATTTACTGTCTAGATGATGTAGTACAATATTATTCGTAAATTTCAAAACAATTAAATTGTTACTAATTTAATGTTATTGTATTTTTAATTTTTAATTAGCATAGTTATATCATTAATTTGGCTATGATGAATTTTAGTATGATTCAATCTTAGGTGAAATTTCCAAATGAAAAAAAAAGTACCAATAAGCATAGACTTAGTAGGGGAGAAATAAGGAGGAACAGCTCCCCCTTTCGATATAAACAAATAAAAAAGTAAAAGTTAATATTGATAAAAAAATCTTCAAAAATGGTTAACATATATAGGTTGATTGCTAATATTTCAACATTTTGATAGATACTAACAATCAAAAAGGATTTCCTCAATTTAAGTGATTAAATTGAAAAAAATATTCTCATTTTAGGAAGATTTTTTTAATCTGTATAGGCCCTTGATACTAAGTAATCACAAACACTGATACTTATTGTCCACTTTTTAAAATATAAATAAAGTATACATTTATCAATTTTATTTATTATTCAGACATGATTCCAAAACAATTTTTGAAAAATCAAAATCTGGCATTAAAGAATTATTACATCTTAGTCGGTAGTATAAGTATGATTTCAAAGGATGCTACAGGTTTTGAGGACTCCTAAACTTCTTACTCAAAATTTGATATCTGTAAGTGTTATACAATCTTTTGATATAAAATAATTTACAGTCACTGTTAGTACTTTAATGTTATAATTTTGTGTTCAAAATACATTTGTGTTCAAAATAATTTGAAACCCTTGGTGGCTTAGTTTCAATTCCATGAGAATTAAATGTATCAAGGCTGGGAGAATAAAGAACACTTGTAAAGATAAATGGATATGTAAACATTTGTTAAAAAATGACAAGATTTTCAAGATTTTTATAAGAACTTCTAATCTATCAATTAGTAATTTATATAAAACAAAAATCTCCAATCCCACTCTCTTGGTCCTAGGATCGTAGCATTTTTATAATCTGATATTTATATCTCTGATTATACTGATTGCTGTCACAATATTGCTTTCATGTCTAATTAAAATCTTCAACCTAAAAATATTATAGAGGTAAATGCATATTTATAGATCATAACTGAGAAAAAGACAATGTTATTTCCATTCCATAGGTGAAATAGTATTTAGAATAATTTATTATACTTAGCTATTCAGGAAATAATGAGGTTGAGATTAAACCTTTACCGAATATAAATCTGATTGTTTACAATTTTACTTTGAGGAATCCGAACTAAAAATTCATTTTTATTAATTTATTTATATTTTGAAGACTTGAAAATGGTCCAAATGCTAGCCGAAATGTCTTATAAATTGATTATGGTGTAAAAGAAATATAACAATGGTGCACAAATGGTCTTGATTTATGGAGAAAAAACTTTATGACACCATAAATAGGCAAACTGAATAGAATCCTTTTTAACATTATTTTTAAATTATATTTTTTAAATTATAGGAGTGCATTCAATAATCATAATAGACAAGAAATATTTTTCTTATTACAATTAAATTTTTTACAAAATTTAAGTAATATACTTTGTACAAAAAAAAAAAAAAAAAAAAAAAAAAAAGCCGACAATTATTTAGATGAGGAGGGGTTCACAATCACATCGGTCACACTTGTTTATGGAGTACCGAATGCATCCGGGTTTATCCTATACTTCCTTAGAAATTTCTTATACCAAATGATCAACTCCCAGCACCCTTCCTATATCTGTTGTCTCCTCCAGCCTAAACCCTTAGTCCACTCAATAAAAACGAGATCCCGTGTTTCTGACCTCTATATTCCATTCCACAGGACAAAAACCTATGAACGTTCCTTCTTAGCCCGCTCCGTCTCCTACTGGAATTCTTTGCCACATAACATCCGTCATGCCTTTTCCCTGTCAACTTTCAAATACCTCCTTTTCCAATATCTCCTTACATTCCAAACAGAAGATTTACCACCATAAATTTCATTTTATGAACTGAATTTGCGTGAAGTAAATAGTGGTGCCTACTGTTTAAGTTTTAACATAAAACAGCAATGATTTTTGTCACCTAGTTTGAGACTATTATTTTTACTATTTATGTATTTTTCTCTTCTCCTCAGGTTGTGCTTTTTCTTTCGGGTATATATGGTTATATTTTATATTTTTGTCTTTATGTGTGCCAATATGAGAATGTAAGTATAAATAGTTCCTTTTATTTATTTATTTTTTTTTTCCATTACACCACAAGTATCCTAAGATTTTATTTTATCTTAGTGTCTGCACATTATTATATAAACCACTGTAGATATTATTATATTTTGTATTAAGTTAGTTTTCTATTAGATAGCCTATTGTTTATAAATTGTGTAGTTATGTATATATAAATATGTAATTTCTCTCTTTTTTTTTCATCAAAATTAAGTAATTTTGAGTAGATTTAATGTTCATTTGTATATATATTTTATTTTTTATTTTTTACTGGTTACATACTTTTTAATTAATGTATATAAAATTAAAATTTTTATAAGATAGTTTTTGGCCAGATTTGTACTTTACTTTTTATTAATTCATCATTGTTATTCTAAAGGGACTTAGTCCCAGAATAAAGTTTAATTTTCTATTCTATTATATTCTAAAGACTGTTTTTGGCGTAAACGACTTTAAATTGCAAACGACCCGTAACCCATGGGGTTCTCATCTAAATAATTACGGAAAAAAAATTCGAATTAGTCATGTACCAAAATATTTAGTCATAAATAAGCATACATAATGATCATTTTTTAAATTATTTTTTGTTTTTAGAAATCACATTAGTCAAAATAAAAACTTAAAAAGTTAATATAATATTTGAAATTAGACAAGAATAATTCTTTATAACAATACAACAACTGTTTAAAAAGTTTCAATACGTACAAAATGATTGCTTACTTACTATTTTGAAAGTTGTTATAATGTAAAAGGTTTGTAACCAGGGATTTAATGGCAACTGACACTAATGGAAATGGTTTCCTTCAGTTCTGCCAATCCAGAGCATCACAAACACAAAAATATTTTAAGTAAATCATAGATCATATTATTAATTATTATTTCAAAGATATAAAATTATTTATACAATAAAAGAGTAAGTATTTTACATTTAAACTATTATTATATATTTTTTATATTAATTGATTGATTCTAGTCACTCCTAATAAATTCTGTGCATAAATTATTTTATGTTGCCCCAGATCACAGGCGGATCTACGGAGGGGGCTTTCGGGCTGAAGTCCCTCCCCCCAAAATGGTAAAATATTACCATGTTTTACAGAAAAAAATATTAAATATTATCTCTTAAAGTATTCTTGTTCCTGTAATAACATTTAATAGGACTTCAAGAACCACTTAACCACCATTTCATCATAGGTAGTTAATTTATTTCTTTTTTTTATAATTAATTATTGTTATATGTAAATGAAAAAAAATCTTTCGGGCTGAAGCCCCCCCCCCAAAATTAAATCCTGGATCCGCTAGTGCACCAGATATTGAAAATATTTCAACAAATTCAGGGCTTGGCAAATAATTTAAAAAGTATATTTAGTTAAGGTCTGTTTCATTGAAGTCCTTCTTCATTGACTTGAATTCTTTATATTTAATAATATTCAACGTAGAAAACTAGGATGTAATTGAGCTCGAAGATAACATCTCGGCACTTTCATTAAGGTGGAATGAATACCATTTCTTTGTTTGGACCGTGTTAGCCAGTCATAACTCTCAGCGTATTCTTCTCATACCCAATCTTCATATGCAAATACTGAACAAATTACGAGTAGGGCTGAAGTGGAAAAATATTCTAAGTCTTTAAAATTAATGTCTCCCTGATGTGCAATGTATCATCGGTTCCCAGAAGGCAGGTCTATGAATCAGACGCCATATTTTACTAATATTGATTGAACCAGTGTTGGGCAAAAATTATCTATAGCTAACAGATAAAAGATAACAGCTAAATTAGCTATTAGCGGGCAGATAATTCTACAACTAAATTAGCTATTAGCGGGACCAAGCCGCTAACTTTTAGCGCAAGTTAACTTTTAGCTGTTCTTACCGCTAACCGCTAATTATCTTTATCTGTATCTTCGACTAAAAGCTAATAGCTAATTCTTCGGATTTCACTGGTCTTAGAGTCGACTATTAGGTTTTGGGGGGCGCTTTTTATGAAAATAATGTCGATTTTTAGGTGTGACCCCCCTCCTCCCCCCCCCCCGTCACCGACTTATCATAACTTTTCTGATTTTATCGATATATGGGTCGACTATTAGGTTTTGGGGGCCGCTTTTTATGAAAATAATGTCGATTTTTAGGTGTGACCCCCTCCTCCTCCCCCCCCCCGTCACCGACTTATCATAACTTTTCTGATTTTATCGATATATGGGTCGACTATTAGGTTTTGGGGGCCGCTTTTTATGAAAATAATGTCGATTTTTAGGTGTGACCCCTCCTCCTCCCCCCCCCCCGTCACCGACTTATCATAACTTTTCTGATTTTATCGATATATGGGTCGACTATTAGGTTTTGGGGGCCGCTTTTTATGAAAATAATGTCGATTTTTAGGTGTGACCCCCTCCTCCCCCCCCCCCGTCACCGACTTATCATAACTTTTCTGATTTTATCGATATATGGGTCGACTATTAGGTTTTGGGGGGCGCTTTTTATGAAAATAATGTCGATTTTTAGGTGTGAACCCCTCCTCCTCCCCCCCCCCGTCACCGACTTATCATAACTTTTCTGATTTTATCGATATATGGGTCAACTATTAGGTTTTGGGGGCCGCTTTTTATGAAAATAATGTCGATTTTTAGGTGTGACCCCCTCCTCCTCCCCCCGTCACCGACTTATCATAACTTTTCTGATTTTATCGATATATGGGTCGACTATTAGGTTTTGGGGGCCGCTTTTTATGAAAATAATGTCGATTTTTAGGTGTGAACCCCTCCTCCTCCCCCCCCCCG